TTGAAATACGAAAATAAGGTAGATCACTATGAAAGCCTTATTTTTGCATCATAGTACTTTTTTATTTGTTGTAATTTTCGTGTGGATAGTATAGCTTTAGCATTTTAAACCCACTATATATAGCAAGTAATATTTGTCACTCAGAGTCCAAGTAGTTTAATTACTCTTTATTTACTGCTACGCTCTTATTCCCCATATCCAATTTGTTTTCAGTAGCTATTTTTCATACCCCCCCCCCCAAAAAAAAAAATGCAGCGCACTCTCTTTTTCTACACTAGTAAAAAGGGCTTCACACGCAGCGCTTCCGATATGAAATGCATATCATCTAAAAGTGACTTTATTGATCTCACTGTGGATGGCGGAAAGCTTGGGTCTAATATGATTACCACTCCCTCTGCAGCAGCGGATGAAGCTAACAGTATTACTGTTGAGAATAGTAATAGTGTGCGAAAGCGTGACCGCTCTCTTTCTATATCATCGTCGTCTGTACGTTCACGTTCCCCAAGCAAGCACAACAGCTTGCGTAAAAATACTGGTTCTGAATCCGGTGAGTTAGCCAAGTGTGTGGCTTCCTCATCTCGGTGGTTGGTAGACCTTATTATAGATGCACAATGGAAGCATTTCCTTTCACCCATTATGGAAGACACCTGGCGCGATCGACTTTTCTATAAAATTGAACTTTTTCTAGATGCGGAGCGTAAGGCGGGGAAACTTATTTTACCGCCCACTGAGAGCATTTTTTCAGCGTTCAATAACACGCCTTTAAGCTCCCTCAAAGTCGTATTGCTAGGTCAAGACCCATACCACAACATAGGCCAAGCTCACGGTATGTGTTTTTCCGTGTTGCCAGGTGTACGCCTTCCGCCGAGTCTTCAAAATATCTACAAGGAACTTGCTAATGACATCCCCGGTTTTAAGATCCCGTCCCATGGGTACCTCGAAGGCTGGGCGAAACAGGGTATGCTTATGCTTAACGCCACGCTCACGGTGGAGGCGCACAAGGCCAACTCACACAGCCACTGCGGCTGGCAACTATTCACGAACGATGTTATTCAGCTTTTGTCACGGCGATGCCCGAACCGCCTCGTGTTTTTGCTTTGGGGGAACTTTGCTCGAGCAAAGAAGGGTCTTATCGATTTGTCTCGCCACGTCGTTATCGAGTGTGCACACCCCTCTCCGCTGAGCGCCCGCCAGTGGTTTGGGTCCCGGTGCTTTTCTAAGTGTAATACTGCACTTGAGGATCTTGGACATACCCCGATGTCCTGGCAGCTCTCCCTGGACCTCACACAGGTGAGTGCATCGACTGTTCAAGATCAAAAAGTAAAAAAAGTATCATAGTACCATGATTTTTCCTCTTGCTCTGTTTGTGTACAAATACATCAGACTTGGAATTTTTTTTGCCTTTTAGAATTTACTATGAATAGATAATGCTATCATGAAATGGGCCCTCATTAATGTGCTCTCTTTTGCATATCATTACACATATAACAATTTCCATAGAACTATTAATAAAGAACTATATTTATTCAATATGATATTTTCCATTGCCTCCATTTTTTTGGAGTTTTCGTATTTTTTTCCGATATTTATGGTCTAGCGGTTTTTATTTACTAAATAATTAAACACTTTTTTTTTTTGATTAATTTCTTTTATTTTCTTCCAGCAATGCTATTTTGTGTGGAAGATTCCTGTTGAAGCATATACTTACATCAGTCATTATCTTTCTAGACAAGAAGGGGGCATAATAGTCGATGCTAGCAACTACTGCAATTGCATCCAAAAGGCGAGACTCAGAATCAAGCGCAAAAGCAATTTCCTATGAAGGGATACAAAAGGACAGACCTAGCATTCCCTATGGTGCCGATAATTTGCTTACCCTTATGAGTACCACGGACATGAATTTTGATACGCTTCATCAACCTACTAAAGATGACGGAGCTCAGCCCAATATCATGCCGGATGAACCTCAACCCATGCTCAAATGTTCTCCAGAAGTTGTAGACGATTATATTCGTAATTTTCTTTTGCGTAACGGTATGCTACGAACGCTGGAGATGTTTGAGTCCGAGTGGTACGAACGCTTTGGTAATCACAATGAAACAGAAAAAGCACCACTTTTTATCGTACCCGACAATTATGTGGAGAATGCAACACTCCTGAACCGAATTGAGGAACTAGAACAAAATCTGCGACGACATGCTGAACTAAACACAAAGACGACAAAACAATGGTTGCAGGCGAAGAAAGACTGTGAGTTTCACCGTGTTCATCACAGTCGAGTTGTGCAGGAAAAGAACAAACTTTCGAAGCTGCTTAAGCAGGCACATCGACACACAGAAGGGATCAACCCTACCATTGTGGAATTGCGACAACGGTACGAAGCCATATTAAAGTCAAAAACGTTGTTGGGCTTTGAGAAGGAAAAGCTGGAGCAACGTGTTCATGATTTGGAAACCCAGATCTCTGTTTTGCAGTCGCAGCAGAAACTTAAGGGAGGAAAAGCTGATCAGAGGGCTAAAACAGTCGTGAAGACAGCACTCGACAGGGTGACAACCACTGATTTTCCCAAGAACGTTAGTGGTGGCCCCAAGGCAACTCTGGGGATGGCAGCCTCTACCATTCCAGGGCCCCGCCGTAATGTTGAGGCACGCAGCCCAGCCGCTCTGATGCCAATGGATTCTAAGTGTGAAACCGCATCATTCCCTCACGACGGTAGACACGCGATAAAATTCAAATTGCATCCACCCACCGACAAGCCGAGTGGTCCCCCCGCTACACCGCCCCCGGCGGCGGTACCGGCCTTTGTGTGGCCAGCTGATGAACGGGCGAGGCCTGCGTGGATCGCGTCGACGCCGCGAAAAGACGCCGACCCAACCGCCTCGCAATCCCCACTTTCCCCCTTTGAATGGACCTGCAAGTCGTCTTTTGGGGCGCACACCATGCCGGTCGCCAACCTCGCCCTGCATCAGTGCAAACCCGCCGTGGCGAGCTGCAGTGATGACTGCACTTGGAAGCTGTGGACTCTCCCGCAGGGTGAGCTGATTCTGTCGGGAAGCCATAAAAACTGGGTCTCGAGCATTGCCATGCACCCAACTGGGGCCATGGTGGCCACTGGGTCCGGGGATAAAACCGTGAAGCTCTGGGACTTTGCCACGAATCGCTGCTCCGCGACGCTGCAGGCTCACACGGATGGGGTGTGGTGTGTGGACTTCCAGGAGACGGGCCGGCTGTTGGCGAGCGGGGCCTTGGATTGCACGACGCGGGTGTGGGATGTGGAGAAGGGGCTTTGCTTGCATTCGCTGCGTGGCCATATGGATGGGGTTAACAGCGTGCGGTGGCTACCTTATACGAATCTTCTGTGCACAGGCAGTGGGGACAAAACCGTGTCGGTTTGGGACGCTCGGATGAATTTCTGCGCCAACACCCTCTACGGACACCGAAATGCCGTACGCTGTGTGGTTCCGTTGTTGGGGAATACCCACGCGGACACCGACACTGCGCTTGTCTCGTGCGATTCGGAGGGTGTGGTGAAGGTTTGGGATCTTCGAAAAATGGAGCCACGGCACACCGTGAGCTGCGCCCCGGGTCCAGCCAATAGCCTTGCAGTAGATGGTACCGGACGGTTTGTCGGCGTTGCGATGGATGACGGACGAATTCGCATGCTCCGATTCTTACCGGGGGCTGAAGACAGAGGTAGGGATGGCGGCGGTAATAGTAAAAATGTCGCTGAGTACAACTTATTAGGGCATGAGGGTCCTGTGCAATGCATCGCATTTGATCCTTCAACGAGTGGGTTTTTAGTAAGCTGTGGTTCTGATGGGACTATACGTTACTGGAGTTGAAGTAAAGTGTGTGGTATATCGATATTGAACACGCATAATTCCATTGATTGTGTGTTTTTATACCCACTCTTGTAATGTACACATACTAGAGTTTTTTTTTTAATTTCTAATGATGTAAATCTGTTCCCTTAGAGAGGGTGATGTGTAGGAAAGAGTAAATGAACTTGGTGACGTGGAATAACTAAGGACTACTTACTGAGGGTGGAGGGAGAGAGGAAAACAATTATTACAAATTTAAACTCGTTATTTCCTGAAACTTTATATACTTAAATTTCAACAAAAAATTCGTAGAGCATTATTTTTCATCTCACTTAAATCGCAAGTGCAACGACAGAGGTGGGCAATATATATATTAACGCAAAAAGCTTGTTTCAGGTTAAACGCTAAATTTAACCATTTACATAAAAAGTATAACTCGCACTACTTATAATTTTCTAACTAGGAACCATGTCGATTGTTAAGATAACTCTTACACACTCTGCCAGCCCGAATGTGGTTCCTGAAAAGCGTTTTGCTCTAACGCAATCTGTTGAAAGCGTCAAGCAGAGCGTTTATTCCCACTTTGGGACCCCGTCCGCATACTGTCGTATGGAGCTCTACGATGATCGTGGTATACTAATCGAAGCGAACATGAATGACGCTAAAATGTTAGGCTACTATCAATGCAAAGATGAATATCGGATTCATGTTGTGGACACACAGCCTGCGGAAACCATTTCAACCTTTGATGACCTTACGAAGGTCGAGAAGTTCGAGATTAGTGAGGAGGAGTGGCTCAAGCGAGGCGATAACGTACGTGCCTTTAAGCGGCAAATGCTAGCTCGGCAGCGAGCGGAGATGGAGGCTGCCGGGGTTACCCCAGATCCCGTGGACGCACTCAACGCAGATAGCTACAAGGAAAGCGCCGAACAGATTCAAGTTGGTAACCGCTGCCGATGCAAGCCCGGAGACCGTCTTGGCGAAGTGAAATATGTGGGTCGTATTGCAAAGCTGAAGCCAGGCTTCTGGGTCGGTGTGAAGTTTGATGAGCCTGTGGGGAAATCGGATGGCAAAGTGAGTGGGCAACGATTGTTTGAGTGTGCGCCACTGTATGGCGGTTTTTTACGACCAGATCAAGTAGAGGTAGGAGATTTCCCGCCGGAGGTTTTATTTAATGAGGATGATTAGGCTATAATAGCATTAGCAATGGAGATTCAAAAAGGTTGCGACAAGGCTTTTTGGTGAAAAAAAATGCGATCTTGTGTTGCAATCATCTTTAGCGGTACATTTTTTTTGTGTATCTTAATGCTAAATAACAGAAAGGAGGTGGTACATGTGTGAACTTATTCACACAAAAGGATATCCGTTTGTATATCTATATCTCAACTGTTTTGAAATTTCCGCTCCACCTACTTGTTCTCCTCTACACACGAGGTCATGGGTTTCGTAAAAGGCGATTATTCGCATTTTTATTTTAGTTCAAATATATTCGATGTTGGTATATCTTTGAAAATAAGATTTGGAGTTTAAACCTCGAAACATTAACAAATTAGTTGTGCTATATCTAGGTTCTAATGTTTACTTCTGATTCTAGAAGAGGCAAACCTGAGATAATCGATTCTATAATTAGATGACAGGAATTTATCAGTTCTATGCATAATCTTGATCCTTGTGAATGACAAATAAACCGCTAAATTGATGAAAATTTTTCTACATTTGTCGATTGAGAATGTGTGCAAATGAGGTTAACTTTATTTTTTGTTGTCAAGGTGTAAAAAAAGCTGAGTTCTTTTTTTAAGTATTACCACTTCTATATTTTCCCATGAAAATAAACAACAACAACAACAGATAATGGTTGTGCATATTTTGCGTCTGTACATTCGCTAAAGGACAAAACGCCAAGAGAAAAATGATGACATAACGTGAGATGAATTTTCCAAATTAATCTTCTTCGCTGTTGCACTTAATTCTTTTTAGTTCTTTATACTTTTGGGGTCTTATTGAGTTATTTCCAACAGTTTGAGTTTATATAGTTAGATGTATGGTGAGATAGGAACACACACGAGTCGGCAGCAAACGCGACCGCAATCAAGCCCACAACAGACGCAGTTACCAGAAACTTCCTTAGATAGTAGTAATATTAGTGAAAGTAGATGCACCGGCTTGAACAAAGCCAATTCACCTGGTAATGTGGGGTCCGCCTCATCTGGTGTTCCCGCTGTCGTTAGCGCACGATCTGCGGATGTCGATATGACGTCTAATGCGGCTGGGATACCTATCTGTGGTGCACCTGTTCTCGGTGCTGTATCTCTACGTTATCTATCGTGGTATAGTGCGATGATTATATCCCAAATTTTCACCAGAGAACAGTGGAATGCCCAGAAACGAGCGCTATCCCAACAAGAGCGCGTGAACATCAGTTCCACCCGCCTTGATGCTTACCCTGCCGCCTTCGGACAGAGCGTTTCGAAGACCCACGAGGTTTTCACGAGGAAACAACAACCAACCTTGCTTCTATCACCTCAACCATCTTTTGTGCGCCCCGCCGAGATCTCGATTGCTATTAACACGACTGAGTGCACGTCTATGATTAACACCTTTGAGGAGTATTTTTTCCCCCATCATCTCTTTCGGAATTCCGTCGTCGACCCTGACGGGATGTATGCCAGCGCTTCTGGGGTAGTGCCCACACAATATGAGGCGCCCATGCCAACTTCGACGCGGTTATGCACGGAGAATGAGCTGCGTGAAGTCTTCCAGGGGTTCTTGAAATTAGGTCAGCAGTGCACCCGTGAGGCATTCAGTCCGCCTTCGGTGGATTGCCCAACAAATGAAGACAGCCCAAATGATAGGCCTAAGGAGGGAAGGGGGGGGAGGGCCGCCGTGGTAGATTGCCCAGACCAAACGGTGGAGCAAAAAGCAAGCAGCGCGTGTCGAGCGATGCGGCAGTTTATTTTTAGCCTTGCGTTTAACTGCCCTTGCACACCGTTGAAATATGCCGCGAAGTTTCTCCTCGCCGATGCTTTGGCAAACACCAGTGATTATTACACGCAGCGTGGGATTTTTTTTCGCAACTTTCGCGCCTCCACAGCACCAGCTCATATGTTGGAGGTGATTTGTTTTTTATCGAGACTTCCCGTTTTGCCGACGTCCTTTTCAAACGCCACACCACCGCGTCGCGCTGGCGCTGGTCTCCAATCCCACCCCTCTTCAAAACTGCCGAGCCTTGAAAGCGCCACGGGGAGTGATTTACGTGTGAGGGAAGACCCTATTCAGGCGGACGAGACAGGGGATAACCCTCAATCCGAAGTTTTTGTCTGGGAGTATCATCCTTTACAGTTTCGCTCCAGCGACAAGGTTATTTGGTTTGATGCCCAACTCCACACCCAGAGACTCGATGAATGGCTTCGTGAGAATCGCCTGGGGGCCCAACCCGATGGATCATCGTACTTTGTGTGCGCTCAAACCCCGTGTGCGATGGCCCTTCCCACAATCGAGCGTGTGATTATGAAGGACAATGGCGATACTGAGGAAAAGGAACTTTTGGAACGTGTTTTGCGTCGAGCCGTGAGGGAGATAACTCCCTGCGGTGGGAGTGATATACGCGCTAGTAGTATGCGGACGTCCAGACGGAGACGGCAGGGCGGAGGCGGTATTGGAGGCTTGGATACGGCAAGTCCAAAGAACGGTGAGGGTGTAGGTGGTTCCAAGGAAATAACACTTTCCGAACCGAGTAGAACCTGCCGTGAGCCCCTTATCGACCCTGGGGGTGGCAATAACAAAGAGTTTCAGAATATAGCCCGACAACGACAGCGACAGCTTCTGGTAACGTTGAATCGCTCACAAATTCTTGTACCACGGCCCACGAGTTTGCTGAGGAATGAAATTTTATATACCGTATTTACCGAAACGGGTGACTGTCCTACGTACTACCATTTGCTATCGCTTTATCCAGACCTATTGCGAGCACACCATGCCTCAATGCGGTATGTGTTCTTCGACGACGGTCCTCTTGCTTTAGATGAGCGGTTAATGCTCGCTATCATGGTGGCGAGCAGACACCAGTGCGAGTACCTTGTATGTCGTTATGCAGCTCTTCTGATGCACTATCCGAAGTCGGCAGAACTCAGCGTTGAGGCGGTCAAAGAATGCAGTAATGACTTGAGAGCAGAACTTTTTCGATCAAATGATGCGTTAAACGAATCTTCTTCTGTTTGTGGGAGTGAGCAATGGTTATTGTATGGCCCGCCACCACGTCTGCGCGTCGTGCAGCGTTTTATCGCGCTCGCGGCTCACACGCCATGGTTATTGAATGAGGACGACGTTCGTGTGATTCTGCGAAATGGGTGGACCGTGCCTGAGGTGTTCCAGTTAACTGCCATTATCTCGCACGTGCTTTCATTGAGCTCTTTTGTACAAGGTCTTTTTGTATCCACGGAACCATGGACATGGTCGATGTTGCCTTCCGCGATGCTTTGCGACCTACAATGCCATGCCGAAAAAGTTGGTAACTGCAATTTCACCTCCTCCGATCTCGCCTCGCCGTTTGTGAACAAGTCGCAAAAATCCAACAAAATTCCACCCACCTATTCATCCTCCTGTTTTCCTTCCGCCACCTCTGATGAGGAGCGCATGTTTGCCCTTCGGTCGTTTCCTGATGCGGACGCTGGGATCTTCACCCGCTATGCCGGTGAGCCCGAGATCGTCAGCAAGCAGCGCATTCGGTCGAACTACAGCAATGACAGCTTCCACACCCTAAGGCGGAGTCAGTTTTCCTGGCAGGATGTGGGGACAACCTCCATGGAGCATTACTACCCCGGGGCGGCGGCCTTATTGAATGAGGAGATCGAATCCTTCACCGATGTCGTGCGGCAGCTCACGGAGACGGACTGTGTGGGGCTGAAGAACCCGGGCTTCACCCCGGCCTACGCCTTTCACTCCTTACAGCTCTACGTCATTAACCTCCTGGGGTTTATGTTGGAGGACTACCCCTACAACGACATCAACAAGGTCCTGCATCGCTCGGCGAAGTGGTACGCGCAGGCCCTGACGATGCGGCCTGAGGCCCTAACCCTCGAGGAGGTGATCCTCTGGCGGCTGTCGTCCTCGCAGACGGGGCCGGGAGGGGGATCGGGGGGGGCGGGGGCGGTGAACGGCCCGGCGCCCTCGCGAACGCGCGAGTTCGCCGGAGTCCACCCCTGCATCTCCCCCGCGGTCCTGACCTCCCAGCGGGCGAGGCTGGAGGCGGATCTGCTGGCCGCGCAGGGCGGGCAGTCCACGCCGCCGTTGGAGTTGCCCCCGGCCTGGGTGCGGCAGGACCCCTCCTCGGGCGGGGAATTAACGGTAGATAATGGGCCCCACCGCGGGGACGACACCGCCGGACCGGTGGATCCACGCCGGCAGGATGAGGAAAACGATAAGGCGCTGACGATCGGCCTTGGCCTGCAGGACGAACGCGTACTGCTCCTGATGGCGACGGCAACGATGATGGCTCGAAAGGAAGCCCTATTACATCTCTTGCTCTACCCACTCTGCGCGGTCCTCAGTAAAATGTAGCACACACTTATTTTTTAAATTCCCATTTACATAGTTTCACTCCTTTAACATCTTCCAAGAATTTTTCCTTAGGCGATAAAGAACTGGTTCTTTGTAAACATAATTATTTCTAACATAGAGGATCGATATTAGGGGGGTGGGGTAGGGGAAAGCCCATACAATAAAATAATGTCCTTTAGCCTTCATCGTAAAGAGTATTATTGTGGTGGTGCAGTGCGGCTGAAGCGACACGTGTGGAATTGTTGAGTTGGTTTGATTTCCTATGGTAACATACATTAAAATCCAGAAAGCCCAGTAGGTAAATTATCCTCTTTTAACTTTTTAGAACCTTTTCAGCATCACATATGATCAGCGATCTAATATTGACAAATGAAAGGCATAGATGGGAAAAAAATCCGAGCGAAGTCACTGTCTGCAATTTTTTTTTTTTAACGCTTTAAGGGGGAATTGAAGGTCAGAATTTATGTATGTGTGTTTGGTAGAGGTGAAAAACTGAATGTCTATTTTAGAGTATTTTTTTTGATTTCTGAAAAGGTGAAAAAGGAATGAGATGTGAAAATTTAATTAGGTGGAATTCATGGCATTTCATTGCTCTAGTATAATTAAGATTTTGTGAAGGAGGGGGTTGAATTGTTTTATACTTAAAAAGGGAAAAACACAAAAAACGTATAAGAATCCCTAATATCACTTGGAGACTTTTTTTTACTTTTTCATACCAAAGGCGTAATAAGAAACAGAAGGGAATAAATGAGATGTTCAGTGAAAGGTTACTGACTAAGCGATATCCCAAAATATTTGAATCGAGCTCTTTAGTGATATATTTTTTTCCCTTTTGAACCTTGCTAATTTTTTTACTCTTTTTTTTCCTTACATCGATGGCGTTCATTTTTTTTCTTGAGTTTTAACATGCTATCCTTTAGTTACTATTATTTTTGAAAAATATTTCAAAATAAAATTTCTTAGTGTCGACTCACACAACCCATTCTGGAGCCTTTTTTCTACATTCAAGAATATGCGCTTCAGGTAGAAGAAAATCTCAAGAGGAGTAACCAATTTAAGACTTTTGAATTAGAATAGACTCAAAAGGAAACATTATTGTTTTTTCATAAAGCTTGATGCATTTTCCAGTTTGTCAATAACTTGTGTTATTTCGTAGTATTGCTTTCATTTTTTTAAAGGCTTTTTTACTTCTTTCCTCGTCGTCTTATTATTATCTTTATTTCTTCATCATTACTAAAGAGAACGTAGAATAGCTATGTGTATTGTAGTCTAGCTACAAAACAATAAACATTTTATTGGTCTTTACGTCCAAAGGATTAAACATTTTTTGTTGTTGATATCCTCTGTTTTTCTAAATAATCTGTTCTCTTTGTGCCATTTTGTTATTCCATTTTTATTCCATTTATTTTCACTTCTTTAAATAATAGGATCAATTTTATTTCTCTCTAAGAAGAGAAGCTCAAAAAATCATAGAGAGATTTTTTCTTTCTTTACTGTCGGCTATTGTTGCTTACGAAGTTAATTTTTTTTGTGTTCACTTTCTTCGTAGACAAAGCAGAAGTACATTTTTTTTGCTGATTGGAGTAGAGCTTAATTTTATCATTATTAGTGCACTATCTTTTATATTAGAGAAACTTGTAAAGCGTACATTGTTAAAGTTTTTTATTGTGCTTCTTCATCATTATTTCTGACTCCAGTGGCACAAGAAGTAGGCAAAAAAAAAGAAAGGATTATCATCAAGAACGGAATTCTATTCCATATTATATACGTATATATATATTTCATATTTTAAGTATATCATCAATCCCCAACATATTGTGGTGGCACACCACGTTGCGCTGTTTGTATTCTGCCAAGAAAGGTAAGGAAAATAATAAGGTGTTTCTTCTGAAACCATACACAATTTGAATATATATATATATTTTTTAGTCACCTAATTACACTACTGTTAAAAACGAAATAGAAAGTTTAGCCGAATATTACTGTGTCGCCACGCAGAATTAGAGCTTACCACACAGGAAGGTGTAAAACCCTCGGATTTCAAGAATAGTAAAAAACATAAAAGCACATCTACCCAAAAGTGATAGAGGGTGGGAAAAAAGGTAAAGTAGTGTATAAGTTACTGGGAAGGAGAGCATCACAAATCCACGGGCGAGGCAAGTGGAAAAGAGGAGGATGACGGAATGTCTGGAGGAGGCATTGCAGATTGCCGAAGAGGAATTTATCTTCAACGAGTACGCAGTTGATGACACGCTCGACCCACTGAGTAAATTAGTTCAATACTATCAATCGGACTTTTCACTCCAGCGGCTGATGTTGGTGCGGGAATTATGCGATACCGCCGAATACGCTGGGTACTCCGAGAGCGCCAAATTGATCGTGCCGCTCCTTGCGCAGTTCACGGCGGATTCGGAACCTGCGGTGCGGCAGACCTTACTCCAACAACTTTTCCCCCTTGCCGAGTTCTTTATTAAGGAAGGTGGAGAGAGCGGTTACGAATGCCTCCTTAGCACCTTCTTGCCGATGAGTTTTGAGCTTATCGTGGACAAAAATGTCGAGGTGGGGGCGGCCGCTCTGCAAACGGTTGAGGCACTTGCTAGGCTCGTGAGTCCGGAGCATGTTCAGGCGCATTTGCTCAGCGTGATCATCGCCCTCGCGCACGACGAGCGTGCGGAGGACTACCGCGTGGTCGCCGCGCGGCTTTTTAATGATCTCGCCCCAGTCCTGGGCGAGGAATACTGCACAACGGTGGTCCTGCAGGAGTTGGAATTGCTCTCGAACGACTCGAGTTTTTCCGTCCGTAAGACCGTAGGGGCTTGCCTTGGTAGGATGTGCTGCGTCTTGAAGAACAGTGCGGCGGCTCAAAAGGTGATTGTGTCTTTGTATTTGAATCTTTGTCAGGACGATATTTGGGGCGTCCGACAGGCCTGTGTGGATTCGATAGAAGAGCTTTCGCAGGGACTACCCGAGGAGGTGCGGATTGAACATCTCCTACCCGCCTTCCAGCAGCTACTTGAGGATAACTCCCGTTGGGTTCGTGACCGTGCGTATGGGGCCCTCGGGTGCCTGATTCACACCCTGAAGAATGAGGACATCGATCCTGAACTTTTGCAGCTTTACACCAACATGGCTTTTCAGTCTGAGAATGGTGACTGCGAGTTGAGTGAGTACTGCGCCTATTCTTTCCCAGCAATCGTGCAGGCGATCGGTCCGGGGCGCTGGGATGAGGTTCAGGACGCCTATTGCACGATGCTCAAGGACGTCCAATGGAAGGTTCGAAAATCACTCGCCTACTCCCTGCATGTTGTGGCGAAGATTTTAGGAACGGAGATTACCGAGAAAAGTTTGGTACCCGCCTTTCATCTTCTGCTCAGTGATCTTGATGATATTAAGCTAGGTGTAGTGCTGAGTGTTGAGAAATTTCTTCAAGTTGTGACCCCCAGCACCCTTAATGATCTTATCCCCGTGCTTTGTCATGTCCCTCTTGAGAGTGAAAACTGGCGGTTGAGGAACGAAGTGGCGAAACGCATTGGTGACGTCGGCGTCCTCCTCGAGCCATCCAATCCGACGCTGAATATGGCGACATCATTAGTGATACGATTGTTGGATGATAGCGTCATGGAGGTGCGTGCCTCAACCTACCGCCCCGCCGCGGTGTTGTTAAATCACCTCGCGAAGGATCAACAACTGAGAGACTCCATTTCGTCCACCAATTCCACGTTTATTTCGTACCTAAATACCATCATCAGACTAGCCGACCGGATGAGCTTCCAAGGGCGACAAATGTTCGCCTATGTCACCCAGCAGACCGCTGAAATCGGGGCGAATGATGTTGTCGAGCAGTTCCTGCTGGATGGCTTGCTAAGGCTGACCTCCGACAGCGTCAGTAATGTTCGTTTAGTCATTCAGCGCGTCATGCAGGAAACGTTTTTGCGATTACCGGCGTGGAAGGATCATCCGAAGATTACCACCATCATGGCCTCATTGCATGTTCATGACTCCGATGACTTGCGAGGCGATGAAGAGGCCGCCATGTTCGCCTATCCAAACCAGCAGCAAGATTCAACATTTCCGAGAGGAATAAAAGAGACATCGGGTGGGGAGACTTTCCCAGAGGAGAACAATGGATTTAATGGGAATGCCGTGGCCAGTCCTCCTCAGAGAATAGTTTATGATGAAGAGTTGTCTAACGGTGTCGAGCATGACGATATTAATGAGGGCACTAGCGATGGTGATGCCGATGAGAGTGCTGCGGCGTCGGTCTCGGCGGATGCCGAGACGGCTGCTTCGGACAAATTGAAACCAACGTCGCCGGTAGCGTGTTGACATACTTTGACTTCAGATCTGAATGGAGATGTGGAAGATACGGAGTCTGGACTTGTAAATGTTTTTTAGGTAAAATCAGTGTTTATGGTGTATCGCAATAACAGTGGAAGATGAAAATGATGCCATCTTTTCTTTTCAAATAATCCTAATAATGCTAATTATATGGTAAAAATGGTAATGGTAAACCGAAGGACTAGAAAAAGGAATGAAAGGATGAACATCCCAAAATTGTTTGGCAACTGGGGAGCCAGGGTAGATGAAAAAAATGCAATTTCACTAATCCATACGTACATCAGCATATTATAAAAGAGAGTCAGAGACTAAAACAGGAATGAAAATATGGGGGTTTGTGTGCGTTGTACTAGGCATTCCAATGATATTTCTGCACCTTGATGTCACTTTGTTACAACTTATTATAAATTATGGTCCTGAAAGTGTGTCGAATTTATTTATTATTTGCATATTTATTTACCTCTATTCTTGTTATGCCTGATCTCCATCTCTTACTCAAATTCGAAGTATTCAGAAAATATGTGAGATATATGGTTTAGGGGAAAGACATGTATACGTCAGTAAATATATGTACATACGACTGGTATTCCACTAAAAGTTGAAGATGCCGAGGAGTTCTTGTGTCAGGATTTCTTCAAATTACGTCATAAAAAATAGGTGAGTTTAGGAAAGGGGGCTTCCAGTTATTGTTCCGCGATAAGAAAGGAAGGGTGAATATTTTACTTTTATTACTTTAATGAGTGTGAACCCCGGCTCCTCATTTCTTATCCATTACAAAGGATACTGTCTCATGTTCCTTACTGTTACTGCTAGATTACTTTATATAATCCTAATTCTTATTTATCCTTTATCATTTCCCCTTTATTTTTTTCTCACGAGTTGTGGTTCCCATTTGCTTTAATTGCTATTAATTGTCTATCCAATGCCCAATTTTTTTTCGTGTGGTTTTCGGTTTCATTTTCATTACCGCTGTTTCTGCTTGCCTTTTGTGGAAAAGGGAAGGGAGGAGAGGCCCTAACACACATGTTTATTTGAAATTCTTATTCGTGGTGTATCAAACGAGGAATTTCTAACCCTCTTTTTTCCAAAGGGTGATATATCCTTAAGGGAGACATCTTCACTTAATACGTAGCATTTGATGCTAAACTTTACATTGCCTGATGACTGAGCACGCTCTCCCTATGTGCCGTAGGGCAGATGCACAGTGTATCAATTTCCTTCTTTGGGTTCGTTACCTTTATGTTACTCTTAAGATATTTTAATTCCTTTTACCAAGCTTTTCAAATATCAAATAAGCATTCAAGCTAATATTCATACAAATTTATTGCTTACCAACAATTTTTCCTTTTTGTTATTTTTTTCAACCTATCCGCACAATGCGTTCTGCACGTACTGCTTTGATCCGGGGTGTTTCCAGCCTTCGCGCGGCCTCTGGGATCATCGATGAGTTGAAGCAGTCGATTTTAAAGCATCACGAAGTGGAATTTCCAAAAATCAAGGAGCTCAAGTCCAAACACAGTGATGTGAACTTAAGCAATGGGACAATCGGGGCGGCCTATGGTGGGATGCGGGGCTTGACGGGGCTGGTCTACGAGCCATCCCTGCTTGACCCCATAGAGGGCATCCGGTTTCGTGGCCTCAGCATCTCTGAATGCCAGAAGGCTCTGCCGTCCGCACCGAATGGGAACGAGATGTTGCCGGAGGCGATGTTCTGGCTTTTGCTTACCGGCAGTACACCAACGTCGGAGCAGGCCAAGGCTTTCTGCAATGAACTGCACCGTCGTGCGGACCCGGAGGCGATTTTAACTGCGCAAAAAGCGATCGCCGCGTTGCCTGCCAACACCCATCCTATGACGTCCTTCAGCGTTGGAGTGCTTGCCCTACAGACCTACTCGAAGTTCGCCAAGGCATATGCCACGGGCGAGTCCACCAAGAAGAATTACTGGGAGTATGCACTCGAAGACGCACTCGACATCGTGGCACGCACACCAGCGGTGGCTGCCATCATCTATAACCGCTTAAAATGCGGTAAAGCGGAGCTGGCCGTCCCCAGCGAGTCCAGCCTTGACTGGGCCGCAAACTTCATAAACATGCTTGGCTACAAGAGCGAGGAATTCTGGGATTGTATGCGTCTGTACATGTCCATTCATGTGGATCACGAGGGAGGCAATGTGACGGCACACACCACCACATTGGTTTCATCCGCGTTAAGTGACCCGTACCTTGCGTTTTCGGCCGGCCTGAATGGGCTCGCCGGGCCCTTGCACGGTTTGGCAAATCAGGAGGTGCTAACCTACGTCCTCAGCATGCGGGAGCAGTGCCAACGGGACGGCGTTGTGCTGACCAATGAGGCCGAGCTCGAGAAGGCGCTCACCAAGTACAGCTGGGATCTGCTGAAGAGCGGGCACGTGGTTCCGGGCTATGGCCACGCGGTGCTTCGGGCGACGGATCCTCGCTACATGTGCCAGCGCGAGTTCTGCCTCAAGCACTTCCCTGAGGACGAACTCTTTAAGCTCGTCAGCACGATCTTTAAGATTATGCCTGGCATTCTCACTGAGCACGGCAAGACGAAGAATCCTTATCCTAACGTCGACGCACACTCTGGGGTGCTGCTGCAGCACTATGGATTGACGGAGCAGGAGTACTACACCGTGCTGTTTGGGGTGTCTCGGCAATTGGGCGTTTTGTCTGGCGTTGTGTGGGACCGCCTGCAGGGCCGACCGCTGGAGCGACCTAAATCTATCACATCAGAAGCGCTTTTTAAGAAATACTTAAACAAGTAAAATAAAGATGTAGTGAATCGTTTTTGACAAAGACGCCACATTTATCCGCATTTGATGTTGTATTCCTTTTATAGAGCTGGTTATATGGCAAAAAGCTGAGGAATACGATTATTACGTGTGTGTATCACACACGCACACACACGTATATATACACACACACACTCATATTTTTTTTATATCAACGCATTCGATTAGTTTTTATTTTTGTGTTTTTTTTTTATGATCAGCATAAAAAAATGGTAAAACTTATACGATGCTCGTACCTTCGAAACACTAATTGCATGTATTTGTCAAAGTTGTGCATCTCCTTATATTCGCTATCTTTTATTGCTATACATATGAAAATATATGTAATTCCAGCATGAGCGTTCTTAAGTGATAATAAAATAGAAATAAAACCGCATTATTTGAAGGTGTGTGTGGGGAGTGATTTCTTTGCTTTGTATTTAATCTTTGAGGATTAAAAAAATATTTTTATATACACAAAAAAAAATATACGTCTACTTTGCTTTGCTTAAATATTTACAACTTTCTTATTTTGATATGAGTTACCATTTTAAAAATTTCAGCGAATTTATTTTTGGTATAGTTTATCGAAAGTCCTAAAGTTCATACAGGCAAAGGAAAATTGAGCACTACCTGCGAAAAATAAGAAGTTAAATTCCCCAACGAAACATAATTAGGTATTCATTTTAACAGCGAGGGTTCTATATTAGAAGTTGAAAAAATAGACTTTAGGAATTCTGAAGGCATCAATTTTGAGTTTAATTTTTTTTTCTAGGGAATTTATTTGTTGGCAGTCTGACCGATCATAACACCAGAGACACCAAAATAGTCTGTGTATGCGAAAAATCAGAAACAGAAGCGAAATTGTAATACAAAGATTTCTGGTTGATGACTTTTCTTATCGTAACTTTGAATTTCTTACGTGGATTCCACCATTTTTAGAAATATTTATATATATTTTCATTACATTCAATTCATCGCTTACTTTCATTTTTATTGAAGGTACTTTTCTTTTCGGAAAGTTATGCGAAATACGCTAGTTTATACCTTCAGTGTTTTAAAATATTTTCTATAATTCTTTTTCTACTGCATAATATTGAATATTTCCAAAAAAAAAACGAACAAAATAATTTATTATTTATCGGATACACCGAACCTACCAATGTACGTATATATAATCTTTTTATTAATAAGGATTAATTTAGAGTTAACCAATCTCAACACTCTTATCTTGGATCCAAGTCACAGGGTGCAGAATGTGATTGATACACTTTCTGTTTTTTTTCTGAAATGCGTATTTTTTCCATTCTTGGAATGAATTCATGCACTAGGAAAGTACAACAGACATCTCTTGTCAAATTTCTTTTTTATATTGTTTCTTTAGTTGTTTTTTTTAATTGTTCAATATTCCGTTTAAAATATTTGAAACACACTAGTACTTCTACTTTTTATGAACAAAGGTACTTGCACACTAACAAAAGGCTATTACAGTTCCTTTCATCAATTGCTACCCTTCGTTTCGATTCCCAATGCAAAACAGCCACCACAGCACCTTAATAAAGCACGCCGATTAAGATTTCGTGCTAATGTTCAGGATGCATCTAATCAGTTAACTCAATCTCACCAGGCGATGTTGACATTTGACCAAAAGTGCTCTATGGTGAAGACAATAATACCAGCTGCAAAAGCCTTTCAGCCGAATTCTACTGCAAATGTGCATATCAATGCCAAAACTATTCAGAAAAGCCTTCAGTGTATCTATCCACCGAACCCAATCGTGTACCTCGGCGTTGTACACCGATGTACTGATCAATCGTTCACAAAGTCGACTATAGATCTAAAGCCTCATCAACCAGAAGCTACTAGTAAAGCCGAAACACACGATGATATTAAGCAAGATGTAGAATTATCCGAGAGTGAGGCCCGTGGGGAACGTGTTACAACCAGATGTGCAGTGCAAGAGGAGGATGTGTGGATTCTCCGTCAAGGTTCGCGTTTTTGTGCGTCTAGGCTGTCTTTTGTTGTGTTTCCTGTCGTTCCTCAGCATCTTCGGCATACCCTAGGTCTTTTCTTGCAACCCCTAACATTGTTGTCATCAGCATTTACTGGAACCAATCAACCAATAGTACAAGAAAACGCACTTATGCCTCTGCCCTACAAGTGCAGCCCGGATATGAAGGAATCGTTGTGTTTATCCAGTCCATTACATAGTGATAAATTTAGCGAAATATCGAAATCACATTTGAGAGAGTCTGAAAGTCATAATGTAAGTTTCCTTTCAGATTTATTGCAATGCGTTTTTTCACCTGTGGTAAGAAATTCACTGAGCCCTTATTTAAAGAATATCTTGACCGATACTGGTGTCAACCCGAGTAAGGTGAATAACAGAAGTGAAAATGGAGCTGATAATCCCACGGCTTCAACTCCGTGCGCTCATCAAAATTTTCATTTGCCTTTTTCTCGGTCTTTCATATCACCTGCGTCTTATGTAGACATTCGTCAGGGGAAGTTTGGAGTGGATTCGCAGCGATTGTGGGAGCTTTCAATGACCACCATGCGCCAACGTGCACCCTCCTTGGTGCTTGTTGATGAGCGGGAGTCGGTTTTCCCTCCCAGTGGTAAACCAGGTATTGGGGTTGACGACAACCATCCGGGGAAACCGTGGAGGCGAGTTCGTTTTCAGGTTGAACCCACGTTATGGATGCGTGACCGCGCCAAAGGGGAAGACCGGGATGTCCTGCCAACCGTCTCGTTACCAACCACCTCGTTTGATATGGCAGTGTACACGGAACGGATGCCGCTGGATCCCAGCTCGCATGCCAAACTTTTGAGTGATCTGTCCAAGTCCCAGCGGAAGCTGGTTGAGTCTCGCAGGCCTCACCTCGTTGACGCGGATAATTCACCCGAAACAACGCAGAATCACACTGCGAATGCGACGACGACATCACCCAAAGAGTCCACCCATATGGCATGGGTGTGGAATGGAAGTTTTTGGGTGGAGGAAGTCGATCCACAGCTTTCTCGAGTCGCTTATGGAATTTTCGATCGGGTTCAACGCATTCGTTCATCCGGCGACACCCACAACGATCCCAAACACTTATCTCCGCCTGCGATTCCTCAACAGCTGGTCGCATGGGTGCCGTCATTCTGGTGGGAGTTCCGGAGCTTAAGCGCAAAACCGTCTTTCTTCTACAGACATAGAGCGGGAGGGGCGTGTACGCGTCTTGAGCCATTGCTGCAATTCACGATTGAGTTGAGAAAGACGTGGACTGTGACAGGGTTGGAGGGGATCCGCGAACTAATTATTATGACATCTATGCGCCTGAGGAACGTTTTAAAGGAGAAAGATAGTTGTTGGTTGCCACTTATTGACGAGAGCCATAAGGCGGGTGAGATGTTAGTAGAGTCAAAAAAGCCTCCCAACGATACGAAACTTCTCATGAGGCAGACGGATCGCATGAAAAAGGCGGAGAAGACGTTGACTGTGGCAAGCCTTTTTTCATCCTCTATCTCACCTTTTCCAACTTCTCTCTCTGTTCTGCCCTTCGAGGACACCCCAAAGAGTTCACTGCCGTTAGATGATTCTCACGACGAGCCAGTGGAGGTTGTGACGGACGGTGACAGGTTGTTCATGAAATCTACGCATCCGCATTCTAGTAGTTTCTACTTACTTAACTCTTCGAGGGAAAACCTTAGCAGTGTATATTACCCCGCTTACAATGCTCTCAGTGGTATGCCACTGGACTACAAGTGTCGAAATTTTCTGAATGCTCGCAACAAAAAGCCCGACATCCGTGGAGACGTTCCTCAGGTTGTTGGATCCCGTTTCAACGAGTCTACCAGGCCATCACATTCGACAAAATCGGTTGAAACACGTAGTTTAAAGTTTTCAGAAGGCCTCCCGAACCCCTTTGATTTTTCCTTTTCTTCACAACAGATATGCTGGGTGCCTAAAGAGGCAATCGATGATCTTGGGCTACAAGTTGCAAGGGATGGACTGGGTTCAGAAAAGGGCGTATTTGAGCAGCCTCGGGTGCGGGAACTGGTGGAGACTGGTGAACCCCTTATGGATGCAAAGGCAACACTCCAACGTGAGGTTCACTACACTGGGTTTCCATTTCATCAGTTGCCCTTATGGATCACAAGTCTGATTCCTTCTACGGACAGCTCAGCGAATTATCCAAGAGCAGTTGCGGACTCGTTAACTGGAATGGGGACTCCATATAAATCACCATTACAAAAGACACTCATTCGGACGTTGCTAGAATATTCACCTTCCCCAATTTCTGGTTGCCTTCAATGGCACTGCAATCCAGATAGGAAGGAACAGATTGGGGGCAATGATGATTCAACCGTGTGGGTTCTTCAATATGATCCTTCGCAATGTCTCTCCCCCTCGTGTGATCCTGGTCTTACAGAGTTTTTACCTGTACAGGGCCTCCTCTGGAAGGTTTACCGTGTAATCGATACCAAGATGAATTTTATCTTTTCTATATCAGATATTTTGCAGAGCGTGGGTGCCAGGGAGGAAAAAGCGCATCCTGAGAGTTCTGGTTACGATTCCTATGACTTTAAGACAGAGGCCAATCTTATCCGAAGTTTACTGCACTCTGTTTTTGAAGAGAGATGCCGTATGCACTGCAGTTCTTTTCAAGCGTTGCGCTTAAGTTCAGAACTGGAAAAGGCTTCGTATTTTTTCCTTGACATTCGTGCCGCGCTGCTTCTGTTAGAGATTCTAAAGTCTCGAAAAGGGTCCTTGCAGAGCTCCGCAGTGAAGCATTCCACTAATGGAAAGCAAATGGATGCGGTTGATGGAAAGACTCACCACACGGGTTTTCAGCCGGACTGTAGTTGCGTTCTTTCGGATATTGAAACTCCATTAAACCGAACTTCAGACCAGGATTGGCTAGAGGAATGTGAAGAAATTTGGTCAAAACACTCCTCTTCTTGGTCTTCTAAAAAGGGTATCAGGGACAAAGGAGCGTGCGGTACAGAGGCTTCCTTTGCGGACGCATCGACGCGTTGGTTTCTTTCTCCGAGTAGTTTTGTCGATTACTGTGTTACTCGGTGTAAGAGAAAGCTCTTTTGGAAGCTGGAGGAGCTTGATGCAGCGTTGTCGTTGGCTGCTTCGGACAGTATCATACGGGAGGACGAACAAGCGAGGTCAAGGATTGGTGAATGTGGTCTTTACTCGGACTGTGCAGAGTTGCAGTCAACTGCAGCACTGCCCTTAAGCGAAGAGTTGGTAGGAGAAGCAGGCATGGATGATCGGTGCGGACCCGATGCCCAGACCTCTCTACCTCCTCAGGAAGAGACCTTTCTGGGCCAGTTTGCAATCCTACGCGACGACGATGGTGCAGAGGATGGGGACATTAAGCATAACAGGATACATCCTGCGTCTGAGAATTTGAATACACTAGAGGACTTTCCCGCGGTAGACCGCCGATACTTCGGCCCTGGATCGCGCCTGTTTGATGCATTAATTCACCCTAAATTATCACCTGATAGAGGTGTAAAGGATCTACTACACTCAGCGCTTGGGTTAGAGCGAGCTAACGCAATCTTGAATGCCAACAAAGTGGCACGGTGCACTCGTCAACTTTCCCCCTACTCCTGCTTGAGTCAAGATCATTACGACGGCAAGGATAATATCTTCCAAACGTCCACTAAGGAAGCTTGCATGGAGAAGCCAAGCCATATGCTGGACATGAACACGAAGTTTTTTCCAACCACAGAGGACATAGAAGAGACTATACGTACAAATACTTCATCAGGGCAGGGGGTCCCTACTTATACTTTTAAAGATGAGACACCTAGCTTCCGAGACATTTACTTTCCTGGCCTGACTTGCGTTAGCCAAGTTGAGGTTTGTATAGCCGAAGAGCAGAATCGTCTGCAGAAACGTTGGTCCCCATGGCTTAAGCTCTTTTCTAAGCAAATGCCAGGAGAACATAACAATGATAGTAGAAAATCAAACGACGTCCAGGACGAACTACCGTTGAGCGTGCCCTTATCACCCCTTGCTCGGATGCTTTGTACACTTGGAGAAATGGAGTCAACCCATACAAGAAGCTTTGAAGCGCCTATGAAGCCCATTCAAAATGATAAGAGTGGTAGCATGGTAGAAATGGTAACAAATGAGGCACACCAAACCAGCTTGTCTAATGGACTCTGTTGTTGGGATTTAGGATTAACAGTGATTTCCATATCCTATAAGGAGCATTACGTCAATGCCTCTAACCTTTCCTTTTCTAATTTAGAAAGAGATAAATAGTGTCAAACACTAACAGAATAATTTAATTTTCACAATATATTGATTTATAAAATACTTTGTTATTTTTTTCAAAAGAACTGCTTTACGTCTATATTTTTTAAAATAAAAATTGTTATTGTTATCAGTATATTCTTTTATAAATATTCACAGTAAGTACCTTCTATGGTTATTAACATTTTATTTTACCTCCTTCAACTATATGCGGTTGCAGGGATAGTATGAGAGAAGAAATTTATTTTTACTATACCATTTCCTCTTATCACTTAATTGATATTAATAATAATAATATAATCAATCATTATCTGCTAATGAGACTCCCCCGAAAAGAATCTAGAGAATAATAAAACAAATAAAAGAAAGCCCTAAAATAGGAGCTTACAAAGAGTAATCTAATATATTTTTAATTCAATTGATGACCATTGTACTTCTCATTTTTTTCGTTGACTTATCGGGTTGCTTGAAGAAAATTAACACTTAAGCGTCACTCTGACTCCCTCCCCAGCACGGAGCTGTGTGTCATTATGAGTTTTCAAAAATATTTTAATTTAACAAAAATAATTATTTAGAATAGAAACTACAATAGATATTAACAACCGAAAAATTTAGTACGTACACTCTAAATAAGCAACACATAGTCAATTTAACCATTTAACCAATAAACACATTCACACACCTGCATATATATATTTATAAATATACGTTTTTAGCTAAATTGAAGGGTATATGGCAAAGCCTTCTCAAAAAGGTAAGAAGGTTGGGGCGTCAGATACATCGACATCGAAGCTTAAAAACTCTAAAGCTAGTGAACCGATAGCTCCCAAAAGTGGAAAACAGTCTAGTGCCAAAAGTTCTGTGTCTAAAGTCTCTACAAAAGAACAATTATCAAGCACGCCATGTAGCACTCCATTAATCGTCTGCACACGGAAGCGATCTCTAGAAAAACACCAACCAAGTACCACTGACAATCATGATAGTGAAAACCTCACAACCGACTCTCCAGTTCCAGAGCCAACGCAGGTTTGCGAAGAGGTTAATTGCAAGAGGCCGAAAAACAGTGTCGCTTCTGAGGCTCAAGACCCCCTCATCGACGTTACGGATCGTCCGTGTGGTTTAGCGAGTCCGGGGGATCTAACCCGGACACCGGAGCTTTCCCCCTTTTTGCGAACCACCACCTACGACTTTCGATTTTCCGATGCCGAGCTCAGGAGTTTTTTATTGGACGCCACCTCCTTTCTCTGTTATTTGTGGTGTCGTGTGACCACGCATATCACGCTTCAGGTACCCAATAGTGCCGCCTTTCTTAGTGTGGGCGAACGGGGCCGGATGGTAGATTCGACCGCGCTATCAAGTACTGCGGCTAACGAAGAGAACGAAGGGGCTTATGGGGAAGGTTCGGAAACGATTTTCGACTGGAAGGCGCTTCTAATGGATAGTAGTAAGGTGCATGAGGAAGTCTACCGCACCGTCCGTAGCACCATCGCGGCGTCCTGTGCACTAAGCCACCGGTCTTGCCAAGCTCTGTGGGGTCCGTGCGGCTCCGGTAAGCACCGCATCGTTCGCTTGGTCACTGAGGAGTGCTCAAAGCAGGCTAACACCTTCGTGATTCAGCTGCATGGTAAACTTTTGCGAGGCGATGAGGCAGCGATCAGGGTCATTGCACAACAGATGCTAGATTTCTTGAAGTCGCCGCACTCGGAGGCAGTGCGCCGCGCAGACTGGTCCATTCGGACTGGGACTTTTGACTTTGGTCAGTTATTCCACTTTGAAAAGGAGTTGGCAATGGAGCCAACAACTCACACACATCACGGTGGTGCCGATCCAATGTCTGGAGAAGGTCATCTTTCCAACGGCGGCGAGCACGTTAGAGATGGAGCCTTGGGACCCCAGGAGGGCGATCAAGGAGGTAGAAGACGTGGCTTTGCGCCTGCCGCTGCTGTGATGGGTGGGACTTCCAATCGAGCTATGGAGGCTGAGAAACCTTGGCTGTCAACCGCAGGACGGGGTGCCATTAAGAATACAAAGCACATTTCGAACCAAGACGGCCCTTCGGTCCTGAACAACGATGCTGAGTTTGATTCCAGCAATGATGAGGATGACGACGGCGGTGGATATCCTTTCATTACATCGACCACCACGTACCTTAGCGGTGGGGCGGCGAGTGCGCTGCCGCACCTTCAGCGCGCCCTCCTTCTTTTGAAGCACCATGGGACCAATCTGGTGGTTTGTTTACGCCATGCCGATCAGTTTAGTGTGTGGTGTGATCGTCTACTCTACGTTCTTTCAGGTCTTATGCACGAGAGCGATGGCCAGGGCGGGGGGATGTCGCTGCTGTTGACCAGTTCCGCCTCGGATGTACGGCAGATGGAAAAGCGGCTGTCCAGTCGACTGACCTGCATAACATGTTATGTGCCCTTGTTGACGTGGACTCCCGCGACGCTGCTTCGCGCGGTTATTTCGATTCTCGTCGATTGGTGTGAATGGAAGCTCGACGAAATCGGACTACGGCAGGACGAGGAAGCACACCGGCGTCAAATGCAAAACCAGCCAGATGAAATGGATAAAGATAAGGCGAAAATTGCGAATCAGCACCCTTGTAAGGGTAGCGCCAACAATGTTAACTCCAATGACAAGCCCAACAGCGACGTCGATGGAGCCGATGAGGCATTGGGGCTGTTTGCGAAGCGCACAGCCGAGTTATCTCGCCAAAAGGCATCTCTCCACCATCTTCTTCCTTTTCCACCGGACGAGGCCTCCTTCGAGGTCGCTCCGGTGGCGCCTGAGGAGGCTGTTTATTTTAATCACGCCGAGGGCGGGCCGCGTTTGAAAGGCAGACGCCCAAGAAAGCCAACAAAAGGGGGGTCTGACGTCCCCAAGAGGCCGTCCTTGTACGCACACCCGACGTTGGCGCTTGAGATGTTGGCGTTTGTGTGCAAACAGCAGCTCCGCCGGCTTGATGAGATGGGCACGCGAGCAGCGGATGGGAGTGGGTCGTGGACCTTGGCGAACGGCTCCTCGCCGGAATGGACGGATTCGGCTGACTTTTCGCTTATTTCTAACATTCTGCGGCTGACGGACGACCTTTTCGCGGCGGGTGGTACCCCTCAGGCTTCTTTGGCGGCGCTTGTGCAGTGTTTGACCAAATGTAGCTCGGGGGCGCTGGATCTCATACGTCCTGAGGATCAGATCGAGGTGCTGGAATGGCTGCGGCAGCGTCAGGGCCGAGAGGAAATCTGGCCTTGGATGGAGGCCGTTGGCCACGACGACGACGCCTGCAAGATTAATAACCTTGAGGGGAGTCCGCGAATTCGTGTGGGGCTTCCACGCTTCCGCCAGTGTGCGCCGATGAACTTACGTCGAGGGCCACGGGCACCAGCCCTTCGGAAGGAAAACACCGCGCCGTCCTCCGCAGTGCTCGATTCCGCGTTGTTGGTACCTCACTTATGGGGCCTTCTTGACGAAGGTCAGCTTGTGCGGTTGGGCTACTTTTCCCGAGAATCGGTCCAGATCCTCTTTTATATGCTGATCCACCAGGAGGCTGGAATTGATCGACGATCGATCGCCGACCTTTTGGAGGATGTATCCTCTTCCCTCGGGGTGAAGGCAGCGGCCGCGCTGGATCGTGCGGCTTATCGAGCATCAATTGAACAGCTCATCCGGTGGAATTTTCTGAAGATGCAGGAGATTGGAGAGTCGGTGTCTCTGAACATTGGTGCTAGCCGATTACGTGAAGCACTTAAGGAGATCTTTTCACGGCAAGCAGATTGGTGCGAAGACATTCTTGGTATCGATCCAAAGGACTACATGAGAATGCGGAGCCTTATTGGGTAATATATCCATGGATCACGTGTTATCAGTATCTACACTAGCAAGGGAGTTAGCTTATGGTGTGTAATATAAATCAAAAAAAATGGATGTATTCCATTAAAGACCGAGTAAGCTTATAGATTACACAAGATCTATGATAACAAAAACACTGGTATTCATTTTACGTGGTGTAATGTTGTGTTATCAGATCTTGCATTTTATTTAACTTTCCTTGCCGCATATTATTACTATTACTTTTGTTCAAAATGGTTTATCCTTAATTTTTCAGCATATTTTACCTCTCTTTCTCTTTTTTTTTTGTGTGTGTGAGGGAGGGGGTAGTAATAGAAATTAGATCTCTTTCCTTTCCCGTATCTTGCGTAGAATATGTCGGGAGCTGGAACCCCTTCTGAGGGGCCTCTGGTGCAACTTCAAGAGCAAACACCTGTCAAGAATACTGAGGACTTACACGAAAACAGTATTACCATTTCGCCTGGAGATAGTGAAGCCACCAGTAAAGGTTTGAATGAAGGTTCCGTATCGTGCTCGGTAGCCGAGCAGAAGGAGTGTGCAATGAGCATGTCCCGAAGCGTTCCGAGGATGGATGATAGCATATCGAAGCTCGACGAATCAGGAGACGAGGAGGATAAGGTCGCCACCAGAGATAACGTTAGCGAAGTCCCACAAGAGGTTTTGGTATCAATTAATGAGGTGAAAAATATTGTTCTCCAAATATTAAGTCCGTATTTCGATGACGATGGGGGTGGTGATGATCCCATCCCCTCCCACGTGATCGACGAAAAAGCTCCAGGGGCGGGGGGCGATGATATCCGCGATGAAGGCGCCGCAAACGAGTCTACCCATGTCGAGTCCGGCCTCGTGGACGACGATTACTACAATGACACCGCTCAGCGATATGACCACAACAAATCCCTGGCATGGACCCAGCTGATATGTGATGGGATCATGAAGAAGCTGATTTTGATGGATAAACCGTTCAAATATGTAGTACATTGTATGATCATGCGCAAGACTGGGGCTGGTATACATGTATGTTCTAGCAATTTCTATGGTCCGATCGATGGCTGTTTGAGTCATTCTCATGATCTCAATCCACACATATACGCGGCAATAACCGTTTACTGGAGCGGGATATAATATAGATCTAGCAATGTGTACATGTTCCCCTATGAATGGCAGTAGATATTGTCCTTGAGTATAAGCTTACTCTTTTTTTCAAACATTTTCTTAGAGAGCTTCCTCCCCTTTTCTCTTCCCTTTTCGTACTGCTCATTTAATCCTTTACACATGTGCGTTTTTTGTTTTCATATTTCCTCCATTTGATGTAGATATCGCTATGTTTGTGAGTATAGTATCACGACCACAAAGATAGCAAATTGTTGTAGTTTCTGAAATTACTATTGCCGGCATATTAGATTTGAACGAGTACGAGAATATAGAGAATATCATTTTTTTTCTATTTTCTGTCTATCCCAACGAATAAGAAATAAGGGGATCTGTCCAATACCATTTCTTATGAAGTTTCTTCTCGAATAAGTTCTAAATTTAATCCTTGGAGGATATAGATTAACGGGTGTATATAATAGACTTTCCCCTTTTCTTTACTGCGCCTTGATTCGGTGCCCCAACGCCACGTTTACTTCCCTATCTTCCTTTCAGAGGTGGTGGCATCGTTTATTACACTCTCAGTCTGTGCAAAAAAAAATTTCGAACGGGACCCCTGATCTATATTGTCGTATATTTCCCTTTTTTACTGTTTTCATTCTCGTAATCGAGCCAACCTAGCCTAACCGGCGACCCCCAACGCTTTTCTCCGTTCATCCTGAGGGTGAATCCTCCTTCTCCTCCTCCTAATCCTAATAAGTAGCACGCAACACCTAGACCCTTCCTTAATTGACTTCGACGGCGCGCGAATCCCCCTTTCTTTCACCCCAAGCGCGATGTTTCGATCTTCCCTGCGGGGTTTGCGCTGGGCCCTTCCGACCGCCCCCCTGCGGGCGCCCGGCAAAGAAGTTTTCGTGCGCACGATGCCGCACCTCACGATCGGCACCGTCGGCCACGTCGACCACGGCAAAACGACGCTGACCTCCTCCATCACGACGGCCCTGGCCAAGCTGGGGCGGGCCACCGCGATGGACTACTTCGCGATCGACAAATCCCCCGAGGAGAAGCTGCGGAAGATCACGATTAACGCCACGCACGTCGCCTACGAGTCGAAAAAGCGGCATTACGGCCACATCGACTGCCCGGGACATATGGATTTCGTCAAGAACATGATCACCGGGGCCGCCCAGATGGACGGCGGGATCATCGTCGTGGCCGCCACGGACGGGGTGATGCCGCAAACCCGCGAGCACCTGCTGATTTGCTCGCAGATCGGCCTCCCCGCGCTCGTGGGGTTTATTAACAAGGTCGACGTCGTGGATAGCGAGACCTGCGACCTCGTCGAGCTCGAGCTCCGCGAGCAGCTCGCCAAGTACCACTTCCCCGAGGACGCCACCCCGATCGTCCGGGGCTCCGCCCTCAAGGCCCTCGAGGGCGACCCCGACGCCGAGGCCCGCATTCTCGAGTTGGTGGACCGCTGCGATGAGTGGATCCCGGACCCCCCGCGCGACGTCGAGAAGCCCTTTTTGATGGCCATCGAGCACGTCTACGAGGTCGGGAAGGACAAGAAGGCGATCATCGTGACCGGCCGGGTCGATCAGGGGGTCCTCAAGTTCAACGCCGAGGCCGAACTCGCCGGGCTACAGATGCGCAAGGCCACCGTGAAGGTCACCGGGATCGAAATGTACCACCAAACCCTCCCCGAGTGCCTTCCCGGGGATTCCGTCGGGGTCGGCCTCGTCGGGACCGGGGAGACCACCACCCTGTCCAAGGCCACCGTCGAGCGCGGGATGGTCCTGGCCGCCTCCGGGAGCACCAAACTCTTCAACAAGTTGAAGGCCCAGGTCTACGTCCTGACGAAGGAGGAGGGCGGCCGGCATACGGGGTTTAGCCCGCACTACCGCCCCCAGATCTTCTTCCACTGCGCCGATATCACGGCGGACCTCAGCTTCCCCGAGACCGAGGCGAAGCGCGAGGAGCTCGTCAAAGCGCACGGCAAAAGCGCGGAGGGCCTCAAAAAGGTCGAGGCCGAGCTCAAGGACTTCGAGAGCAAGATGGTCTGCATGCCGGGCGATAACCGGGAGATGATCCTGACCTTGGCCTACCCAATGCCGATCGAGAAGGGGCTGAAGTTCACGATTCGCGAGGGCAAAATCACCGTCGGCTGGGGCGCGGTCACGGAGACGATCGCCCTGGACAAGAAGGTCAGCATCGAGGGAAAGCGCCAGGTTCATAAGCCCGTCGGAAAGCCGTCCAAGAAGAAATAAGCTCGGGCAGTATAGGGGGATGTGTCGAACTACAAACACACACACACACACACAGAGACAGACAGACTAAAAAAAAAGAACCCGGAGAAAACAGGCAAGAAAAACGAAGGTTGATCATGTGAAGGAAAATGAAATAAACGCCTTTTGCGCAGGACGAGAGTGCGGTATGGGCCATAGGCGTTTTCTGACTTCATATGTATTTTTTCTCTGTTATCTTTACCCAAATGACAAACAAGCTTTACATTTTATCACATCCTATTTTTTTAAAATTTTATTGTTATCGGTATACAAATATATATTTATGTTAATATATATCTGAGTTAAAGGTGCGTATTCTGAATATATCTACTTGCATTCTCTACTTTGATGCAGAGATAAAAAGGATATACAAGACTGAAGTGTGATCACACAAAGCAGAGGGTAGACTTCTATTAAACAAGGGTTTCGGATTTTATGCTTATTACGTAATCCAAGTGGGTTGAACCTTTTTTTGTAGTGCGTTTAATAGGAAAGGGTTTCAATGTTTGGTGTTTATTTAAAACCTATCTAAACAAACAAGAAAAACCTATAAATAGTGTGAAAAGGTAGGAAGGAGTTAAGACGTGAAGTTTGTGACTTTACTGTTTTTAAAATTGTGATATTCTGAATATTTCAAATTACAATGGAGCATTATTCTGCCATTTTGTCTAAGAATATTTTAAGCGTTTAGTTTGATTACTTTGACATACAAATCGGGAAAAACGATGCGATTCACTTAGAAACCGCAACACCGTTCTATGAACGATGGACAAAGAAAAGCGTAAATGTGAAGAAGCGATTAAATACGTGTCGGTAGACTGCGCATTCCTGATAGGGCTGCAGAACAGACCGTGATTTAAGGCGCACCTCAAAATGATGGCCAAATGGGCTAACACACCAACTTGAGCTGGCTTATTTTGCGTTTAAATTTTTTTGGGTGTGTGAATTCGTCAACGGATTCTGAACAATAACACGCAAAGTGTCTGTGGTGGTTGGTTTGGTGGCTATGAACGGCTTTGGGTTTTTATTTTTTGCGGCTCAACGCGCAGCCAAATGAGAGCGTTTGGGCGGCGATTGTAGGCCCAAACTGGAGTAGAAGGGGGTGCGCGGTGTATGCGGTAAATGGTCTACCTGTACTTTTTAATCGAGAAGGCGAAAGTAATAGGTTTTCGCCTTTAGGAATTTACTTTCCGCCGATTTTGTAGTCTGGGAAAGCGACCTTATAAGCTACCCCTGCATAAAACTGGTAATGTCTCTGCACTCGTATCGTAAAACGGGTTCTTTGTGCAATGGTGTAAAACTGATTGGGCTCTTTCTTAATCGTACACAACATGATTCTTTTAGTTGTGAAGGTGGGTGGATAGACCACAAACATATTTAAGCACCGATTCTTATAACTTACTGATTAATTACCAAATGATGAAATGTCATTGATTTCCTTTTTTTGCTTTAGTTTTATCTCTTTCAGCCCATTTTTCTGAATTGAAATGACTCAATCCTACAAAAAAAAAAACAATAGTAGCCTGCAACTATTTTTATTAGAATGAATCCGGACAAACAACAAAGGAAGAAGGAATAGTCATTTTAACAAAACGCGTATGCCATTTTACTGCTCGGCGTGTAGCCTTCAATTCACGGACTCACTTTCCGCCGCGGCCCACAAGGCCTCCATCAAACATAAAAAAAAAAGTTCCGAGTTTGACTTGGAGGCGAAAAAATACAAACCCGATGCCGACGTCACCGTTGGTGATGTTGAGGCGCTATTGCAAAGACGTGCCGAAGAACTGGGGGTGAAGTCCTGGGGGGAATTGCGATATCGCGAAACCCCACCTTGATCGAAGTGGGCGTAAAATAACTCGACAGGTTATTGGTTGTGTTTTATTCCTTCTTCAGGAGCGGATACTGATTAATTTTTTTTTTTAGTAATTATTGCGGATAGACATCTAAATAATAGTAAAGCTTGACCGTAACGAAAAAGGATAACCATCATGTCACCTTCCTGCTGTAGTGAAGTTAGTTATTCAATTTTTTCCCCCTGTTTTCCTCATTGACTTTACTTTTTTTGAATCGCTATACTAGGGCTACATTTTCTATACAATTTCAGATAGTACTTTTATTTTCGTATTATAAACTGTTAAGCTTTGGTTTTAATTCCATTTACGCGACCATTAGAATAATCCGATACCCTATCACTAGATTTTTTTCCCGGCATTTATCCGTGTTAGTTACACTAACACCCCTATAGGCCCTTGTTTTTGTATTGTTGTGTTTT